GTATCTAAATATGTACTTATCAGCTGGACGTGGTGGCGCACGCCTGCAATCCCAGCACTTGGGAGGCTGAGGCAGGAGGATCACTGTGAGTTCGAGACCAGCCTGGGCTACATAGTGAGTTCCAGTTCAGTCTCAACTAAATAGTGAGACCCTGTCTCCAAAAAAACAAAACAAACAAATAAATATATACATACCTGACATTTTTCACTATTAAACTGAAGATAATGCCTTAAGAAAAGAAAAGCTAATTTTTTCAGTATGTCCCACCTGTTTTCTATTGAGTTAAAAAATAAAGATGCATATGTTGTAAATATAAACCTCCAAATCTCCTCTATGCACATGATTAAAGTAAATGTAATTGCAACAATGTGATTTAAATGTAGTTTTTGTTTTATCTTTATAATCTGATATAAACAGATACATTTTCTTAAAGATAGCAAGTGCAGAAAGAGTAGAAATAGAAAATTCTTGAAACCCCATGTTTATAGAAATAAACATAAATTAATATGTTTCACTGAACAGATATGAAATAATTGATATACTTTTTGTAAGTATATTTTTATTCATATAGGGTATATACATTATGAATATTCATGTGTGCTGTATGGTATGTTTTTCTTCATGCTCAAATAATAGTATTTTTAATCTTTGTCTGTTAGTTCATGTAGTTATCTTTCTTTCTTTTGATGGCTTTATGATCCTCCACTTTATAGATGATGATAATAATTTTAATTAGAACCAGTGAATGAACAATGGGTATTTTCCATCACTTAACTGTTGCAGATAATTTTGCATTGCTAAAACTACTGCAAGTCATCTTTATATTTGTGCACACCGTTTCTGTTAAACAAACTGCAAAAATTAAAATATTCTGCTACAAGGAAACAGACACTTAATTTGAAGACTAAACAATGAACTATTTATTTTCTTGAACTAGTGAGAGGAGAATTTTGGAAATGCTAAAGCAAAAGTTATATATTTGCTGTAGAAAGAGTGTTTAACTTTTGAGGTATATCTATGTTCTTTGGCCTTCTTTTGTGCTCCATAACTATTTACTGGACACCTGCCTTGAAAACGCAAATTGACCAGTTATTCCCAAGTCAGGGGCATGAATGCTTTTTGGACCATTTACAGGTTGACTGCTCTGTGTCCTAATCAAAGGCAGCTGCATGGGAATTTTCCCAGGAGACATTAACTCCTAAATTTTCCAAGGTAGCACCTGGAACTCAGCCAATTAGTTTCTCCATTTTTCAAGCGCTGCATTGTTTTGAATCTCATCTTTACTTTACATGATTTAAAGCTCTACATCCTGTGTTGAAAGTTGATAAATTAGAAAGAATAGCAGAAAGAATTTCTTGATTGCAAAGAAAATGTTATTCTACAGCTACCAGAACAGGATCTTCTCCTGCTTATGACTCTGTACCGCTAAAAATTCATTTATCTACCGTGCTTTTTGCTTGTATGCTTACTTTTATGTCATAGAAAATGGGACAATGTAGTTGTGTGGAAATCATATCAAGCCAGATTCAAATTGAGGTTTTGTAAATTGCTACTAATGAAGCCTTGAATTCATTATCCTAACCTATCTGTGCTTCGATATTTTTACAAAGAATTTTCCTAATATGTGGGCCTATCAATTAAGCTGAAGAAAAAATATTTTTTCAGGATTACATAGCAATATCAACCTTAGCTTGGAAATTGACTCTGAACACAAAATAAATTTATCTAGACTGATCTGTCCATTTCTATTAAGAAATAATAATAGATTTTATTTCTAAGTTAATTTATTTGGAGGGTACAATTTTAAATTTTTTGAAAAGTGGTTTTCATTGCACATAAAATTCTTCAGTTTTAATATGTTAGAGGTATCTAATATTGAAAACAAAGCTATCCAACATAAAATTTTTCTGAATGTAACTTTTCCCTATGGGTACTGCTAATTTCCACATTTATAAAGCTTAATAAAATATTTTTTCACATAATAAATCTCTAACACTTATCATGTAACTCTTCTCCAAAGAAAGTACATAACTGGTAGTGTTCAAAACTCCCCTAGTGGGTAGCTGGAGTTGAATTTGTACTCTCTAGCACAGGATTCACATTTTACTTAGATATTTTAAATACCCTAAAATCTGAAACCTATTTTTCTTCCCATTTTCTAGTGCATCTTTTCAGTGAGTAGCTGTGGTAACCAAAGATCCTTGAGATTGTCACCCCTAAGTTCTTTGATTGTGCCCCATCAGAAATGCCGACATCTATGGCCAAAATAAGCAAAAGTAAGATCGATTTGAGTCACCATGATGCACACTGCCAAAAAATAAAGGAAAAATACAAAAAAATAATTAAAATACACCCCAGATACTCAACTGTTTTTAATAATCTATATAGTCATAGGCAAAAGCAGTACAAAATGTCTGACTCTATTACTTTTCAAAAGGAAAAAAAAATGCCATTTGCTCTTTAAGAATGTGATAGTATTTCCTGAAAAACAGTGATCTGCCTATGGCTTGTGCATACAAGAAGTTCAATAAATATTTGTCAACTGAATGAAAGAAAGAAAGAAAGAACCAGGCTGTGAAGCTCAAATATAATACAGCTTGAGCAGCAACTAGTCTATGACCAACAGAGCTAACTTTATATTCACTCAGTGTGGGACTGACTATTAGTCCCTTCAGTGTTACTGGCCTGTGGAGTTTTAATCCTTACCAGTAGCACCGTCTCATTGCAGAAAGTCTATTGGCATCTATAGCATGGTAGGAAAACTTAGACCTTTTCTTTCTTTGCTAAAATATTTTTGTAAAAGATCCTATGACTTTCAAGGCATTTTTTCTCATACAGTCTGATAGTGATAATTCACACTGCCCACTTTATGTTTCTTGAAATTATCTCTTTGATTTCAAGGCCACTAATACTCCCCGTTTCTTCAACTTTTCCTGTTTCCTCAGAGATCTCACTATGGGCAAACAAAGTGAGCCTCTTCTCATTTTCTGTCTCCTTACTCTCCCTCTCACCCCACCTTGCCCGCTTTCATTGTCATAATTCCAACTCTTTTCTCAAAGGAAGTGGTTTGCCAATGTTTGTCTTCACCTGGCCATAGATTTTATGAAATGTCCAGTCTCACATTTTTTAAAACTTCTGCAGATATTTTCTACTTCAATATCCCCTAATAATTTAATTCACCAACAGAAGAACGTGTCTCTGATTCTATTTCCATGGAGTCCTTCTGAGTTTTCTCAAAGAAGCTGTCTTCTTATCCTCAAGGAGCTGTTGCTATATCCAATGGTGGTAAGTGTTCTAGGAATAGAAATGTCTGATTGGAAACCTGCTGACCTTAACTTGACAGAATTAGAGTGTTCAACACCAGATCCATTTCGGGCATTCTGAGCACTACTTTTTTTCTAACTTACTTTTTTTCTTTTTTGGAAGTGAATTCTAGGATCAATTTTTTTTTTTTTTTTTTAGAAAAGTGTGTTTAGTCAAGCTGGTAATGCCTTACCACCCTGCTATGGTTAGTCACTAAAGTGTTAGTGCCTACACAAAAATATATTTTAAAATATTTGAATTTTACATCTTTTCAGCTACTGTAAACTTTCCTTGATCCTTTCTCTAAATCTGCCTTCTAGAATTTCTATAATCTCCATCTACATTCCTCAAGCATGCTTGACTAGTTAAAACATAGGGCTTTCTTTATAATTCACTTTCACTACATTTCTTACTATAATATGCTTTTTATTTTCCTCAATTTCATGGGCTTGTAGTGGGATCTATAGTTTCTCATGCATATGTAGAGCTATCATTTCCTCTAGAGATAAAAAAAATAAAGAATGGGGCCTACTTCCATATCTCCACATATATAAACTGTCTTTGAAGTCCTCATCCTTGTTTTCTACTGTTAAACTGATCACTAATCTATAATTTTGGAAGACTGTGTGACCTGTTACACTGTTCCCTTCCTGGTCCAAGGTCTATCATCAATTTTGGGGGGACATCAGTGTTAATATGGGTGGCCTACTCAAAACCTCAGTTCCATATGTATGGACAACTTGAATTTCCAAAAGTAGGACAAATTTACTTTAATGGGGGAGTTTTGAGAATGAAGGGGAGTTATATTAATAATTGAATCAAGAAAACAGTAATCTATTAAAATTCAAGAAAAAGTCACAGTAGTATACATACTCTTAACAATGCTTACTTTCCTCACACTTCAGTTAAATGTTGAGATTTTACCATTTAATATAGATAGGTGATAGACAGATATGAATGAATAGACTGAATGTCTAATCACACCCTTCTACTTCTCTATCACCCAAACTTGAACTTCTTGAAGCTAGAATGTTAGTATATTGCCAGATTACAACGTCTAGAAATCATTATCCTTTGGCTTGCACTCAATCATCATAACTTGTGATACCTTTACTTTATTTTTGTCACATTTTAATCCCATTTGATTGTCCTTTTTTTTTTCCATTTAGAATTCACTGCACATCTCTTTCACCAACTACACATCTGTAGATTTATTTTCCCCTTTTCAACCTTTTCTCTGACATACTTCATTTTTAGAACCTCAATTCTTGATCGGTCCACCTCTCATATTTACCTCTTGATCCTGTTCTTTTCCAGTACCTTCAGATTTAAGAACACGTGGGTTATTAATTCTTAAAGTCTTTTTCTTCTGAATTTATTCTACCTCCAGTTACCACAGTCACTTTTCTTCACTTTTTTATAGTATGTTATACAATATAGTATACACTGCAGTAGACATGTGAATATAATTTAAAAGACATTTTCCAATTAGCTAAACATTCTCTTTCACTGCTAATATTTGGAGAGTAGGATCTTCCAGGTAATAATTTAGACATTCATGTTTATTGTCCTAACATCACTAAGAGCATTTGGAACATGGGAAGAACCTAATAAACACTGTTGACTGAATTAATACCTGATTTAATAAATATTTTTCCTACAATTAAATCATTATTTGCTACCATTTTTGTGTGGGATATTTTAATTCTTGCTCCTTGCCTATTATTAGTTGTCTTCTTTTGAATTTAATCATAAAGTACTTGAAAATAAGTAAAATGTTTCATCAGGGCCCTTGTAATTTGGGTGATCGTCTATTGTTCTCCTTTCTTTGAATGATGTCTGTAGGAGATTTGTCAAATCCATCTTTTTCAAGTGCTATTGCGGTATTATTGGCTTTACTGCAGACGTATTCTCAATCAGCATTATAACAGTACTCTGAAAAGCACAAGAAAAGGCCTGTTAAGGTTTAAATATCCTCTAGGAAAACAGACTTTCTTAACTCCAAATCCTCTGTTCTAGGGATAAAGAGTAAAATCCAGGTGTCCTTATTTTCAATAATTATGAGCATTGTTCATTTTCCCTATGATTGTGCCTCTTAGTATAAAGCCAAAATACTGCCATAGTGTTCACAATTCTTCCATGATCCATATTTCCTCTCTATTTGAATAAATCATACTGTGCAGGTCAAACTGATTATCTGAAATACCGGATTCCTTCCATGCCCATGTTTACACAGTTTTTTTCTTTTTCACTTTAAATATTCATCCCAGTCCTTCTTCACTTTCTCAGTTACATATCTTGGTTTGTCAAAACTCAGATGATATTAATTTCAGAAAACTTTTGCTGTTATCTTCTGGTATAGTTTCTCTTTTGTTCCAATGCACTGTGATGTAACTCTAATAAATCTGTGCTTTGTTTTCTTGTTTTGTCCCCTGAATCTTCAGGAATCTGCAAGATCTTGAAGGATTGATGGCTTCGTGGCTGTGCCAGTGTTGCTTGCACAGAATCACGGAAAGAAAGTAGACAAAGGAATTAAGCTATGTAGAGAAATTACCAAGCTGATTACTGACACTGAACTTCACTCTCTGTACCATCATGGCTTTGATATTACTTTCTGATATCCTTGTGAACAGGCAAATGGCAAAACAAAACAAACAAACAAACAAACAAACAAATAACCAAAAAACTTCCACATATAATTGTACCCTAAAATCCTTTGTTTCAAAATCTTGTTCTGATGACCATCAGGGATAAACATTATCCTTTTTTTATTATTAATCTTAGTCAAGTTTTTGTATGGGAAAAACTTTCCTTAAGTCAAAATTTCAATCTCAATAAATTCCACCCTTTTCTTCCTTCCCTGCGAATATTGTCAAAGTTTTACCCAAGTAATGCTCTTAATCCTATTGCTAATCTTAGAATTGGATGTCTTATCAAATATTGCTGATGCTTTTAATTGAAATAAAATCGTATCACATTTATAGCATAAAAGGTTTAAGTTGTATTTCAGCTGCTCTATACGATAGCTGATAAAATTTAGCTGATAAAACATGGGATGATTTTTCAGGTTAGTAACTTTGCATCACTGGTAAAATAAAATTTAGTCATTGATTTTGTATAACAGCCATTATTAGTTGGCAGAAGTTTCAATGTGACCAGGAATTAATAAGGAAGAAATCTGATTTATTAGACGCCAACTTTTTCAGTTAGCTTTTCATTTTGGAGACGCTATCTCCTTTTGCTTAGATTTTAAAGATAGCAGTTTATTTAAAGCAAACTTGTAAATCATTTTAGACTCTTTTTCAGTAGCACTTTCAATTGAGGTTAAATAGTTAATATACACTTACAATGCAATCAGGTCCAACACTGATTCATTATCTGGTTCAGTGGTTCCTTGGTTCACTTACTCATTATACAACCAAAAACATCACAGGTCCAGGCTGCAATTGTTATTAGGAGGAAACAAACAACAAAGGTTAAATCTATTTCAGCCTCATAACTTTAAGGCAGCATGATTTCGCCCACATATGAAACACCAATATTAGCAATGAGTCATGAAATGCTCCATTATTTGTTATATGAACTATTCCACCTACACTCCCTTCATTGCTATTTGTCCTATTCTGGCTATATCTTTCAATTTTGATCAACAAAGAAATTACAAGAGAACAATTATGTAAGGGGCCTTCTCTTCTTAAGAAGACATTGGGCAAATTCATAGAAAAGATGGGAGTTTAAACTTGTCTTGGCATAAACATGAAAACTATAATAAAAATAAGCTCCCATATAGTTCAGTGTGTATCTTCTCTCCCTTTTCCTGGGGTTGTAATTCTCATTTCAAGCTTGAATGTAGCCTGCTGTCTCCCCCCACGAAGAATATGTTGATCACTCTGAACTAAACCAAGTAACTGTATTCCTAGCTCTCCTCTTCCTACAAGTTTTAGATTTCCATTTAGCCAGAAAGCAAACAGAAAGTCACACGCTCTTGTGAACAAGGTCAGTAAACGCAGCTAATGGGATGTTAGAGGGCAGAGAATTACAGTGGCAATTTCTCATTTTGCATTTCTGCTCCTCATGGCAGGCACCTCTTTATACAGCCCGCTCACACTCCGGGAAGGCAAAGATTAATGAATGATCGGACCTGCCGCTGCCCCGATCGTGGCTCGGAGTGTTGTCTTCTCATCAAGACTTTAGACCACGCCCTGACAAAGTATCGAAGGAGCATTGGGCCCCAGATCCTTATCCGTACAGGATACAGAAGGCTCGTGAGGTAATCCCACAGCTGGATGAAGATTTAGTTCCCTCCAATCATCCCACCTCTTATTCTTCAAGTCAGAGGCTGCTGCCCTTCGACATCTTGTCTTTGTGATTCTTACACCGCGGCTCAGCTGCAAGAGTCTTCGATCTCACAGCCCAGCTCTGTGAGGGGATGAGAGAATTTGAGTTGACTCTTAATCGTTACAGGCCCCAATATTTTACCTTGCTCTTTAAGAAGTGCAAGTAGAATACGAGGAAATGCTAGTATGGTATCAGTCATATTCCAGCGGGCACTAAGATATTATCTTTAACTCAGTTGTTCAAATAAGGGTATAGAAAGCATTCAGTATGATTCATATTTTGGGTTTTTTCCTGTATTTTTACTCACGTTATTATATTTATGCTTTACGTTTTAGCTATATTGTAAAGTTATACTTTAGCCGTATTTTATAAATCAGGAATCAAAAGCACAGAATAATGCCTTCACTCAATCATCTTTGTATGAATCCTTTTTCTTTTCCTTCTTCTTCTGCTGTTTTGTGTTTACCCCAGGTTTTTGAAAAATGTTTTTTAGCTGATGTTCATGAAGAGAAATTAAACTGTGCCGTTAGTGAAAGGAAACCCTATCTAAATAGTACATTTCTTTACAGAGCTGTATCATATCATCCTTTGGGCCCTCTGCTGGAAAAAGTAGAATCAAGTCTGAAATAATGCCTTTTTAATTGTATCCCCTAGTATTATAGATGTAGGACAGTACTGTATCATACCTCTCTGAGTGTAAAATATCTTATACATGCTTTATGATATGTAGTAGTGACCATGTTTTATCAGAGCTGTTTTTAATGATGTTACTCTGAAATGTTTTATTTCTAGAAGATGATTAAGATGCTAATAAAAAAAATGGTGCCAGGTACCACAGCAGTAACAGAACTTTGCTGTTTTCTGGGTATTATTCTTTTCTTTGTTTTGTTTTTTTAATGGAGTGTGCTGAATGTCTATAATTTTGTTCAGATGACTGCAGAATCTGGAAAAGCTGTTGCTGCTATTGATGCATAACATACTGCTACTATTGGCATACATATATATAATTTGAATTTTTGGAAACTTTAACTTTGCTGTCAACTTTGGAAAAAGTTATCCCAGTTTACTGTGCTGAGTTGGCATTGTACAGAAATTAACAGCCATATTGGTCTAGAAATGTTAATTTTTTTTCCATTTGTCCAGGGATAATGCACTGTATTAAATATTTAAGGTCTTATCTACGTGGGTTTGATTACAGAAAGTAGTAAAATATTCTCTAAATAAAAAAAGTACAGAATAATGTTTATCTTTTTAAAAATTAAAAAACCATAAGAGGAATTGGATTAGGTTAATAGACTTCTAGGAATTTCTAGAGCCATAGAAGTGTTTTAAAATATAGAATAATTATGCTCAAAGATCAACATCTGTATTCATGGCTTATATTTCATTCACTATGCTTAAAAACATAATGCTCCAAATTCTCAAATAAAAGCATTAACATATTCATCTGAAATTGCTAAACATCTCACAAAACATATCTGAAAAGCATTAATATGTTGCCTATATTCATTCTTTTCCTTTAAGGAATCCAGTCTATATTTAAAGACTGAATTATTTATTGTAGTTTTATGTTAAGAAACAGGAATTTTTTAGAATTAGCCATAAAAGCTGTTTCTAGTTTGCTGTAGCAACATTCAAGGCAAGACAAATCTTTCAGTATTAATCACTTCATGATTGACAAATTGGAGTTCTTCCATGATCCTGAGCGAATGATAATTTCATTTAGTTGAACTTCAAGTGTTGAGCAAATGGTTTGAAAATGCATATGTTATTTGAGTAGTTCTCTACAAGATAAATCATGTAAATATTGATTCTCTCATTTGTTAAAACCTAATATGATTTATTTCTCTAAATAATGGAACGGTTAAAAGCCTGCGACCCCCAAAAATCTGTATGGTTTTATCTAAACATCTCTCCCAAAAGGAAGTTCATTTTGTCTACATGTACAGTCTCAATGTAATTTAATTGCTATTGCAGAAAACAGAACAAAAACTCCATCAAGATAGTCTTAACTTCAGTCATACTAAATGTACTACAGATTTACTTCTTGTGGACTTGAAGTCCAGTGAGAGACAGAGGTAGAGTATTTTCCTAGAACAAGTCCACTCCACATAGACAAGCATTGCTGCAATCCAATGATGGCTGCGGAGTTTACTAAACTGGACCGTTTGAAATACATTGCATACAAAATCAGCCTAGGAAGAAGTAACTTTCAATGTCTCATGCCAAAACTAAAAGCATGGATCCAAAAATGATGCTCTTTAATCACTTCTGCTTAGCACATACGACTATAACATGGTCTAATTACTGAAAAAGAGGTGGAAAATTGTGATCTGTTTGCATACCGAGAAGAAGAGTAGGAGCAGGACATATTTCTCTGACAATAACTGACTAAATCTGTTATAGAAACTCTCAGAGCCTCTGTGTTCGCACCTATAAAATGAGTGTTACAGAAGTTTATTTTTAATTTAAAGTGAATTAATGTATACAAATATCTGTAGGGTAGCCTAGAATAAAATGCAAGTTTTTTAAGTGACGATTCTTATTTGTCGAGTCTTCAATGACCCTTCAATAAAAATACATACGCAATACTGAAGATTGATTGAATCCAGGCCTTCCCACTGAGGTACAGCATCCCACCCCTTTTTAAATTTTATTTTTGGCTTATTTGCCAAGGCTAGTCTCCAACTTGTGATCCTTCTGCCTCAGACTTACGTGAGAAACACTACACACGGCTCAGTACTATCTCCATTATTTTCTGTTATTTTTCACATCTTCATTGCATTTCTTAAAAGTACTTTCAATTAATTATCAATTAGTTATTTTCAATTACTTTCAATTAATTAATTAATTACTTTTGATTAATTATTTTCAAAATAAAATAGAAATAAAGTCACTAAATACATTAAGGAACACATAATGAAATGATAGTTTCAGTTCTTTTATTTTTAGGTGATGAATGTAAATATTACATTGTCATAAAATTACAGACCCAATAGGAGTCACTGGTCATTATTTTTGGTCCTGAAGAGTTTCTGGGCAAAATATTAAAGCTGTGACATTCACTTTGTAGCTTTTCTCCTTTCCTGAATACCAGTAAATCACCATCAGGAGTTTTTCTTCTATTTATTCCTTAACAGGGAGGATTAGCTAGTTTTTTCTATCCCTGGGACACTGACATAAAAAAAAAAAAATAGAAATTTTGTCCTGGCTCAAGCTTCAGAAGATTCAGTTCATGGTCAGCTGACTCTACAGCGGAAACATACCGGCAGAAACCAATGATAAAATCAAAGCTTCTCAGTTCAAGGCCCGAAGGAAGGAGAGAACATTGCTGGAGAGGAATGGGCTAGTGACCAGAAATAGTATCAAATGACGACATAGAGTATCCAAGTGTTCCAGAAGTTTCTGTGTGAATTGAGCTCATGGTTCCACGCATAATGAATGAAGTCATGAAACAAAGGAGGAAGTTATGAGAGTTTTATTGCAAATAATAAGAAGAGCTGGGGCTGGGGATTTAGCTCAGTGGTTCTGCTGCCTGCCTTGCAAACGCAAGGTCCCGAGTTCGATCCCCAGTATCAAAAAAAAAATAAAAAAGACAAAGTTCAAAGCTCATGAGAGAGGTATATTCCAAAGGGATTCTGTGGAGAAATTCCCATGACAAGGTTTTGTCTTTGCCTTTTATAAATAGGCAGAGTGCTGGGTAGGGGCTTGATTCAAAAAGAAACCAGTTATCTGACATTTTAATATTTTCTTCAGTCTAGATCTAGGTGTACAGGTGGGGAGGAGCTATTAAAGCTTAACATAGCATATCCTGGATAGGAATCTTCTTCCTGGAGGGAAGAGTTCTTTCTACTCTCATCCCAAACTTCCATTCTCTGTACTTGTATTTACTTTTGCACCTCTAAGTGTGGTTTAGCTGTTTGAATTAGCTCTTAACCTAAGTGGAATATTTTCTTTTCTTTCATCCCATGTTACCCCTGTGTTCTGACATCTGTGACTGCCTACTCATAATTAAAATAATCTATTGCACAAGGTTTTACCTCCGTGGCCAACACAGGCACACCCAAAAGTTTACTGTAATCATCTACTTAGTGTTTCTTAGTCTGATACAGTTGCCAAGTCAAGGTTGACAGTCAGTTAGAGAAATGTATTTTTCTTTGTTGCTGGTTTTGGTTTTCTTTTGAGAGTTGGTTGCCCTGTGATCTCTGTTCATGGTCCAGAAAAGGCTTTCTGAAGGGTACTCAAAACCAGATATGATGTTTTACACCAATAAGGATAAGGGGTGGGTTTGGGATGTAACTCAGACAAAGTCAACTTGTCTAGAGTGTGTAAGGCCCTGGATTTACCATCAGCTATTAGGCCCTCAGTATAATGTTCCATAGAGTATCCTATTAACCATGGTACATTTCCCATTAAAGATGAGCAAGTAGAGGTAAAATGTTTAAATAGCCTATTCATGTTACGTATTCAGAAATGCAGGTAAGATATTTCATCTCGGTATCAATTCTGTTCTCTTTCTGCTGTAAAGTTTGTATTTGCTAATTAGCCTTACCCAATGCATAGGTAAGCATTCTTCTATCTTCAAGGCAGGTGATAGTTTTGCAATGGGGAAAGAGGCATTGACTCCGGTTAAACCTCTAACCTCCCTTAAAGACTGGGAAGCAGAGACTCTATGTTCCTTGTTGATTAAATTTCAAAAATATGTTTGCCAGGCATGTAAAGACCTTTCAAAAATATTTGCTTCTCAAGAGACAGGGAATTTACATTTTCCCTTAAACAAATTCTCTAACAAAGAAGAAAGAGACTTTTGTGTCTAGGCTCTCTGGGATTTTTTTAAAGACCATGATGATAGAGAGATCAGGGTCCTACTGACAGGGAGAATGGTTCCTATCAAAATTGCTACACTAGAAGTTTTAATACAAGTCAACTTGAAGTTGTATAGACACAAAAGTGAGGAAACAATACAAGCCCTGTTGTTTCAAAGGAATATTTTCGAATATTTATGAGAACTTGTTATTAACAGCAATGACCATTTGAGCCACGAGTGGGCAGCAGAGAGTAGCAGACTAACGAAGTAAAAGTTTTCCCTTGAAATACCTTATTGAAGTAAAGCATCAATTCATATTTGTAATGGCAATTCATGTCGAATGGGAGCCAATTTGATGCCAAATAGAAACAATGAAATCAAGACCTAAAACCAAATCAACCTGATTCCCTTTCCTTTTCCAAGTATCTATAGCAATAGTGCAATCACGCCACACTTAGCTTTATCAAACAATAAGTATTTTCTTTTGCCGTAGATTCCAGGAGCTTCCCTTTCATGGGAGAATGTCCCATAACTGACAACCATGTTGAGAGCAACCGTATTTCCTAAAGAAGAAAACTGATGGGATTTTATTCCTTAGAAAGATTGGTGTATGTAATCACAGGTCATCATCTACAAAGCTTAAGGGTATGCTGAAGGAGACAATGAATACCATCAGCATTTCTTTCTTTCTCTGTTGTGCTGAACGTCTTTGAAGTTCTCCAATCAGACATTACAGGCCCCAAATCTCCATGTATGTGGTGCTGATATCAGTAATGCCCTTGGGGAGAAAAGTTTCACTCTCTTAGATCCAAGGCATTTAATCTCACTAAGATTTCTCCTCAGCCTGTAAAAAGAGCATAGTGAGATCTCTCTGAAGATGTTGCTTTAAGATTAAAATATCTCCGTATAATTCTTAGCATTGTAATGGTTGCATGTGTTTCTAAAAAATTAACTCCCTTGTTGAATATGCATTTAGAATTTCTTTGATTGTAACAGCTGACCAAATGCATATAGATTGGAACTAATAAAAGTATAATGTATTTTAGAGAGGACAGACTTTACAAATTTCCTTGAGGCACAGGAAAGAGGAAAGTATTTAGTGGTATCAATATTCCAATGGTGAATTAAAGTTTCCTGGAAATCTCATAAAAAATACATATTCATGGGTTTCACCCAAGACCTATTAAATTTGAATTTCATCGTGAGTTGTCCATAACTGTAGTTTTAATTAGTTCCTCCATTGATTCTAATGCAGCCAGGCTGGCTGGCAACAATCAAAGGGCCACCATCAAATATATTACATTATGCTATAAAAATCATCTAGGCTCCAGCCATAAAAATGTATATATTTTTTCCCACAAATTATCATTGTCATCTATCACTAACAAAGAGTCAGATGTCAACCTACGAAATCTGGGTGACAAAAGGAATTATCATCATTCTAATTTTCTTTTTAATTAACACCAAAATTAATCAGAAAATAACTTTTGTTTATTTTTGATCAACATCCTGGAAATGTTCTTATTCTCAGTGTTAATAATATGCATATATTATACAAGAATTTGAATATTACTCCACAGCATTTTGGTAGTTAAAAGACTTTAATGCGTTCATATAAATTCATTCAGAAGTGCTCTTAATGCATAGTTAATATATACTGTATACTTCTGGATGTAGAAGTTGACATTCTTCTTCTTTTTTTTTCTGAAAATAGCCTACTGTCTGGCAGTTATTTTTTAAACTGGTTGGCCTTCAACCAAGGTGTCTATTATAGAACATATAACCAAATTTTGTGTTCTCTGCAAGTTCTTAACAAATTCTTTTTCCTCCCATGCTATGGCTTGTATCTAGATGTCCCCCCAAAATCTTATGCTATCATAGGTGGGGCTTTTGGAGCTGGCTGAATCAACGGTGCGTGATACTGGGATTATAGGTGTGTGGTAATAAATTAGCGTACTGATTAAAATTAGCAAACTTCTGGGTGGGGTAATGGAAGCCTCATCCTGACTGGGGGTGCCACCAGTCAATAGGCTTGTAGCCTGGATAAACTATAAAGGGAGGAGAGAAGGCAAGCTTGCCACTGCTGCTTGATGCCTTCTACTTGCCATGTCATGAACTGTGCATCCTTTGCAAAGCCCCTCTGCCCTACTGCTCTGCTGCCTGCCTTGGAGCCAGCTATGGACTGAAATCACTACAAACTGTGAGGTGAAAAACCTCTTCCTCCTTTACCTTTGGGTGTTGGGTATTTTGTCTCAGCAATGAGGAAAGTAACCAAGACATTCCAGTTCTATCTGCCCATACTAAGATTTATCCCCAATTTCTACAAAACTGAAAAATAAATGACAGAAAGGGAATATTAGATTCCAAAAATGTGTTCCAAAGCAGTTTACATCTTTCCTATAAACATGAAAGACTTTTAGGCACACCTACTCTCTAATTCACATCACTTTAACAGCTACTTAAAATGCATTTGCATCAGACCCATTGTCAATAACAATTTTAGTCAAATAAAGATTAATTCCATACCATAATGGAAAGTTTCCTGGAGCTACAGACGCAGAGCCTTTTGACCCATCTCATGCTAATTTTGTATGTTTCTCTTCAGAAATATAGACAATTACTATTTTTAAAGGAAGGTGGCTTTAAATTTTAGGATCTAGCATGTATTTAACAAAGTGCAAATTATATCTGAAAATTTGCCAATAAAAAAAATTAACTGAGTAATCTCATACATTCTAACACAAGTATTAATAACGAATTATTCACAGAAAAGAAAGTAAAAGATTGTATATCAGTGCAAATGTACTACAGTCTGAATATTTGTTATCTTCACCCCCAATTCACATTTTGAAGCATAATACTCAGTGTTCTCCTGCTCAGGAGGTGAGCAGTCTGAGTGTGGAACCTCCATGTTTGGAATCTGCGCCCTTTTAGGTTGCATCTCTTCCTCTAAGTGAGCACCCAGAGAAGACAGCCTGCTGGATCAGAAAGTGGGCCTGCATTGGTTGCTGAATCTGCGAGTACATTGGTCTTGAAAGCCCTGCTCTGTAGAACTCTGAAAGCTCAATTTCCGTTGTTTATAAAGTACCTAGTTTCTGGGATTTTTGTTTTAGTAGCTATATTGGAGTACTACAACTGACTTTATTATAATAATATACACACAATTTCTGAGATTGGGAATTTTTTTTGATACTTTGACAGGGAAAATAATTCAAGTATAACTTTACTTTCTTAACCCAAGAAAGAAAAAGAAAAACGGATAAAGATACTTTTGCATAAGTAGTTATACACTGGGAAGAAATGTTTTTCACAGGAATTTACAAGACAAGAGGGTCCATTTAGAAAAAAAGTTTATTGAGTCTTATGGGTTTATATTCAGAGAAAGTCATTTGTTTAAGCATAAAATCATTTTAAAAATTGCTAACTGAGAGCACTTACAACTTTTTTGGGGGGTGCAGAGGATAGAATTTGGGTCCTTGTGCTTGCAAGGCAGGTGGCTGAACCACTGAGCGAAATCCCC